GGAAAAACAGCAGGAGAAAGGGTTCAAGCGACTCTTCTCCCGCTTTCTCGCCCTGCTGTTCCTCACTGGGGTAGAATCACTAATGAAGTCACAGACACAAAAGAAATTAAATCCATTCTCCTGATCTTACGCCAGTGCACATTTCTTCTACCCTCGTTCTCCCTAAAACAGTACATTTCATCTTCCTGATCCCCTTTTTCAAAACCATGTAAATGTAACAAGTTACTGACACAAATTATAAGATGTGCTTCGGTCAAAACCCTGTAAGGAGATTTCACATCTTACCTAAACGCTGAAGAAAGGTGTTCCAGTTAAAGGCGGCGTTTGGTATTGTTGTTATTCCTGGATCAAAGGAACAAGAAAAATGGGAAAGTTCAATGTGATGAGACTGCTGAAATACCGGCAGTTATTTTGTGTTGAAGCTTATTTAAATAATGGTATAGTTGGTTCTCATGAAGCCATTCAAAGTTCCGGGTGCTTCCCAGAAGTCCCTTTAATCGCTCAGCATAGGAGCCAGAAGGTGAGCCCAGGGATCCCAAAAGAGAAAAGATCCATCGCTGTGAGCCCACCCAGTCGTTACTGGGCACCTGGGTCATACAAACCTTGAGTTCTTTAAAAATGCATGTAAGTAACCAGTTTCTAAAGCACTGCCACCCAAACTCTAATAGCCCCATGTAAAAATTATATCTTTCTTTAAAGTTCCTAATGTCAACTCTCACCAAATCATACGTGATTATCTGTCTGTGTCATTTCTTCAGACAGATTTTTAAGTGTAAATTGTTCTGAAAAAAACAAACGTTTTATGATTTAGAAAAATCAGAGGCAACATTTAACAGATTATCTCAGTAACAAGAAAATTCTGAAATTTTATAAAATGTAAATTAAGTCATATCACCACCTCTAAAAAGTTATCTCTAATCATCATTCACACCACTGAATAATTTAACAAGTCCCTGCTCCTTAAAGACCCAGTGAGCAGGCTGGTTCCTCCAGTTTCTCCGGCTGGAAAGTGAGGTTCACAGAGGTTAAACAGTGTCCAAATGACACAGTGTGGAGGCAGTGGAGGTTGCATTTGAACCCCTCCCTCAGCTGCTGCAAATCCCGGGTTTTTCCTGCTGTGCCAGCGTTTCCTTGGCAATAAATCGGGCTGTGGCAGAAGGGACGGGGAGGCTACAAGCCCAGCTGACCATAACTCTTACACAGCCTTTTATACAGACTGAGCTGGCACACGGCTTGTACAATGGGGACTCCAAGAAACAGTTTATTTGACAAGTGATTCTACTGCTGTAAATATCACTGAAAGACAAGATGGCAATGACAATGATATGATAATGGTAATGGCAATGATAATACGATGTGCGGCTGGGACTCAGCTTCACTCCCGAACTTGGCCTCAGCATCTATTCTCACCTAAGCCTGCAATCAGTTACATGTTCTTCTTTGGATCTACTCTTTCCATTATTGCTATTGGGTAGTAAAGTCATTTACAAAGTGGGTTTAGATCTCGGAGGGGGAGGGTTATCTTACTAAGGGTGCCAGATGCCACTCTGGGGCATGACTGCGGCGTGTACGGAAAGGGGCTGGAATGAAGAGAGAAGGCTCCAGATCAACTTAAACAGAGAGTCTCAGCATTTTGCTTTGTTTTGTTTTTTTTAAACATACCCTTGATGGAGTATATTGTATTTCCACTGGTAGAAAACGTTAAATGATCTGCAGAGAAGGCTCCAGATCAACTTAAACAGAGAGTCTCAGCATTTTGCTTTGTTTTGTTTTTCTTAAACATACCCTTGATGGAGTATATTGTATTTCCACTGGTAGAAAACGTTAAATGATCTGCATTTTAATTTATCCTTTTATAATTTCTCCAATGTATCTTTTATTCTAATGTGAGAAAATAATAAAAAATGTATCCCTTCTACTAATTATTTTTAAGTGCATTTTGGGAATCATATTATATCATCCATAAATATTTCACTGTGTATCTCTAAAAGATAAGAACTCATTCTTTTAAAATATATATATTTAAAAATACTTACCTTGACTTTGGACATAGATCTTACCCCTAGCATGCGGCTTTTGAAAAAAGGGCAGAAAGAAAAAAAAGAGTAAATTTGATAGTCCATTATAACTGCCTTTTAGAAATAAAATGAAGGTCATTAAAACATCCTCTTGGAAAGCATCACTAACAGTCATCTACACAGCTGCTTACAGACTCACTACTCTCTAAGAGCAAAGCACTACCTCTACTTTTAATGGGTTTTGCCATTAAAAATACAGCATGTATAAAGTAAGAAGCACAAAGAAAGAAATCCCTTAAATTAGGCGTAATGAAATTTTGTAATTTTGCAGTTACTATGCTAGCAGAAATGTTACTAAAGCTCAGCCAGAGAACATGCCAGTGACAGAGCCTATCTGATGCAGCTCCTGTCCTGAAGCAGAAGGTAGAG